TGCCTGTATTCCGGCTGAACTGGCAGGGATCTGAAATGCTATCCAAGAACCATGGCATGTTAGTGGTTTTTTTTTTTCCAGTCAACCCGAGAGACTAAAATGCGTTACTTTTTTTGCGGGGGTGTGTAAAACACTACAAAAATGACGAATGATCTGATCTTTTTGTCCCCTTATGGTAGAAGGAGAGAGATTTTATCCCTTTTGGCTATCCAGGATTTTTATTTTCATGTTTATTTTTTAAACTTTGCCCTGAATAGATTAAAAACACGCTTCTCTCAGCAAACAGTACTGGGATCCAAGGCACTCCTCCAGCCTCAATGGTCACGGCCCGCTCCCCACGCATGACCTGCCCACTTTGTAGCGCATACTTGTTCCCATTCCCTAGCTGGTGCGAAAGGGGCAGCAAAGGGTGAGCCAAAGGGCTGCCGGGACTACGACGCTGAGACTGGCCATTAAAAAGTAGTGGGGGTCTTTCCCCTTTCGCAAAGTTAATCTCTAGCCTAGTGATGAAGGCTAGAAATCGCGTAATCGGCTAAGCCTTTTGTACAACTTTCTCAGTCAAGGCAACGAAGTAGAGGGGTAAATAATACATATGCCTAATATGTATCTTTAGGATCATAAAGAAAACCATCAGCTGTGACCTTTTATTTTACATACAGGTAACAGATACTTGGAATAACAAGTGTACTGTTAGGAGCCATGCAGCTTGTCTACACACAACCGGTTTACTGTTTTAATTCTGCTAGTACCGCCAATACAGCGCAAACCTCCTAGGGTGAATTAAAGATGCTGGCGCCTGAGAGAGCGGGGCCACCCAGGTACCGGTCTGACCGCATTCACGTTGTGAAGAACGGAGAGTTGCCATAGTTTAACCTGTACAAAAACTAAGTGGAAGCCAAACCTGGTTCCTCGTGACAGACATGATTTTGCAAATAAGAGTTTCCCAGTCTTTTTCTGGTTTCTATTACCTGTTCACAAGGACAGCTATTTCATTTTCTGGACTGGGGTTTCTTTACTATACTTCTGCCGTACCGTTTTCGCAGCCACTTCAGTGCCAGGTCTCAGCGCTCTGCCAGGAGCGCCTGCTCACGGTGAAGGAAGGGCTCATGGAAGCAAACACACGCCTCCGGAGGAAAAGCAAATTTTGAAGCATTCAGCAGCATCCATGCCAAAGAAGATCTGTCTCCTTAGGTCTATAGCCCCAGCTCCTTACATGTATCTCTTTAATCTGTCATCATTAGTTTGAACGTAAAAAAAAATGAAATCTTGGCTTTCAGTCAGGTGCTGTATAGAAAAGGCCCTGCACAGCCCCACTTCCACTGCAGATTGCTGTAGAAAAAGACAATTTTTGACCTTTTTCCCCAAAAATGCTATGCCAAGTACAATGGGCTGCTACGGGAGGAGGGAGAGGAATCCACTTTCAAACCAAGAATTTACAAAAATGACTTTCTTTTCTTGCTTTAGCTTGTGGTAACATCACCCTGCTGAGATTGTTTGGTGGGAATCCAAATTTTAAAATGTTTGCTGCTTTTTGCATGGAATATCATTTCTTTATACTGCAAGGCTTTTCTCTGGGAGAAGAAGCACAAAGTATCCACCCAAGGGGAAGAAATGCTGAATTCACAAGGCTGTTTGTATCTCTGAATTTCACATCATGCTTTTCTCCCACCATTACTTAAAAATTCCCAAAGGGAAACCCAATTTGAGTTTGAAATCTGAAGAGCAATACATCTATTAATAATTTGGCAGACAATTTGTTGGGCTGCCACTGATGTAACCAGCGAAAGATCTGATCTTCTGTGTGCCCCATGGAGGCTCCCGGGGAAGGTAACCACTGGGAATCAATTTTAGAGACACTGGCAGGGAAAACAATGTTTTTGCAGATTTTTTTTAGCCTGACTGTGCTGCAATAGACGTCCCATTTTATTTTTTTCCCACTTTGGTTCACATTCTTTGTAGACGAGATTACCACATGTTCCCTGGAATCAGAAATGTTTTATTTTCAAGGCTGGTTAGTGTTGTTTACCGAGAAGTGTTTTGCCCCGTTCTTTAAACCACGGAGCACCGTGGCCATCTGCAGGCTATCACGTGCTTTCATGCCTTTTTTTTCCCTATAATAGATCA